ATTTCGTATCTGTTGTAAATAGAGCAGCACACTTCTGCAACCTGGACTACCAAGATACTGCTCCCCCTGTAAAAGTGAACAACCAACCTGAGGTAGACTTCCTGTGCTCGAGATCATCTGCCATATCCGCATCTGCAAAACCATATAATACTACCTTCGAACCTCCAAAACTCAAACACAATCTGAAACTACCTTTCAAATATTTTAAGATCCACTTTACACCTTCCCAATAAACTTTCCCTGGATAAAAAAGAAATCTGCTCACAACGCTAATTGCATGAGCTATATTTGGCCGAGTGCAAACCATGGCATACATCAAACTCCCTACAGCTAAAGAGTAAGGAATATTCTCCATCTTACTCTTTTTCCTCATCTGTAGTCGGGAAAAACTTTTTGCTAAGCTTCAAATGACCTGCAAGAGGAGTACTGACTGACTTAACATCTTTTATGTTGAATCTTTTAAGTAACCGTTCAACATATTTCTTCTGTGATAACCACAACTTCTTGGCTTTCCTGTCACAAGCAATATCCATATCAAGAATTCGTTATGCCAAGCCCAAATCCTTCATGTTAAAAAATTTAAATAACTCATTCTTCAGCCCACCGATTATCTGACTATCCTGACCAATAATCAACATATCGTCCACATAAAACAAAAGGATAATGAAGATAGAATTTAAAATTCTCCTAAAATATACACACAAATCTGCAATTGTTTTCTGGTAGCCATGACTCAACATGAAAGAATCAAATTTCTTGTACCACTGTATGAGAGCCTGCTTCAAACTATAGAGGCTCTTCTTCAATTTGCAAACTATGTGTTCTTTTCCCTTCACGTCAAAACCCTCCGGCTGCTCCATGTAGATCTCCTTCTCCAAATCACCATGAAGGAATGTAATCTTCACATCAAGCTGCTCATCTCGAGGTCTAAACTAGCTGACCCCAAGATAACTCTAATAGACGCCATCTTCACAATCGGTGAAAAAATCTCATCAAAATCAATGTCTTTTTTCTGACCAAAGCCTTTCACCACTTGTTCTTCAAAACTTTTTTGTCCTTTGGTAAATCCACCAACTCATAAGTATCGTTCTTTTCAAGAGATTTTATCTCTTCCTTCATAGCCTGGAACCATCTATCATTGTATTTATGAGTATGTGCCTCCTGAAAGCTTTCCGGCTCCCCCTCTTTTGTCAACAAAGAATACTCTGAAAGAGGATATCTCATGAATGGTCGATATTCTCTAGCTGATCTCCAAAGTTGTGGCTCTGCAAACTCTTGCTGCTGGTGATGCTCCCCCTGCTGAGGAGCCTCCTGCTCGTGGTCCTGATTATCGTCTCCCTGCTCTTTTATCTATCTGTCATCATCAACATCATCATTATGCTCCTGCTCTATATTTGTAGGATGCAACTGTATTGAAGATGAAAGATGTGTCATATTTAGAATCCCACTAGCAACACTCTGTGACTGCTCTGCTCTCCTAAAATCTACAGTAGTCTGATTTTCCTGAAAAATCATATATGCTCGTCTAATAATTCATCTCTTTTCTGGATCTCATAGTTTGTAGTCGAACTCATCTTTTTCATAACCAACATCAAGCTTCTGTCTCTTCTCCTTTGGAATGTATGCAAATGCCTTCAACCAAACACCTTTAGATGAGAATAGGAAATATCTTTTCCAGACCAAACTCTCTCTGAAATATCAAAATCCAAAGGAACTGAAAAAGATCTGTTGATTATGTAACATGCAGTGCGAACAGCTTCAGCCCAGAAGCTCTTACGTAACTTTGTCATTTTCAACATGCACCTGACTTTCTCCACAATGGTCATGTTGTACCTCTCTATAACTCTATTATGTTGCGGTGTGTTGGGCTTTGTCCTCTGATACCGAATATCATGCTTGAAGTAATAATCTCTAAACTCAATGGAAGTATACTCTCCTCCATTATCGATGCACAAATACTTCAACTTCTTTCCTGTCTACCTCTCCACCATGGCATGAAACTGCTGGAAGACTGAAAACACATGGTGCTTTGTCCTCAATAAGAAGACCCACATCTTTCGCGCTGCATCATAAATGTGACAAAATACTTCTTGCCACCCAAGAACTCCACATCAATAGGACCACAAACATCAGAACAGATCAAATCTAGGATATTATCTTTTATTTTAGAATGCTTACTAAAAGAAACTCTACGTTGTTTTCCAAACAAACAATAATCACAAGAGGCGAGTGACGAACCTTTGACAAAGGGAATGAGAGACTTATTTGCCAATATCTGCAACCCCTTCTCGCTCATGTGCTCGAGCCTCCTATGTCACAAACTGAGAGAGTCACTATCTTGAGCCACGCTCAAAGAATCATATGAAGCCTTTGCTTCAGTCCTATATAAATTGCAATATATGCTTCCTCTAGCCACCACAAGAGAGCCTTTGGTAATTTTACATTTTCCTCCACCAAATTGAATTTCATATCCCATTCGGTCCAAAGTAAGACCCAAAATCAAGTTGAGCCGCAAATTAAGAACATGTCGCACATTCTTGAAGATCAATGTGCATCCGATATCTGTCTGCAAGTGTATATCATCAAGTCCCACAATCTTCGAATAGCTGGTATTGCCCATCTTTACATTACCAAAGTCACCTGTTTTATACGACGTGAAAAGGTCTCGATTAGAAGTAGCATGACATGAAGCTCATGTATCCACTATCCACTCTGAATTCTAACTTGTAACATGCATATAGTCTTCTTCCCTGCAAATAAGAATAAAATCGGTATCAAACAAAGTAGTTGTAGTGCTATTGTCAACTTTCTTCTTCTCATCTTTCTTTTCATCTTTGTTCCCAGCTTGCTCTTTCTTCAATGCCTAACAATTATTCTTAATATGACCTGGCTTCCCATAATAAAAACAACATCTCCTTTTAGACTGATCTGCCTTTGGATGTGCCACGACCTCTGGACTAGTCCATGTACCTGTTCCTATCCCTGTTCTCCGTGATAAGTGTCTGTGAGTTATCTGTGTTGGTAGACTTCCTCCGAGTCTTCTTATTGAATAAACTACTAGTAATCATACTCATCGATAACACACAATCTGGAGTTGCGTTGTTGACTGTCACAACTAGTGTCTCCCAACTGTCTGGCAAAGAACCTAATAGCAATAAAGTCTGTACCTCATCATCAATAGTCATCTTCATGGTAGCTAACCAATTAATCAAACTCTTGAACTCATTCAAATTGCGTGCTATGTTGCTTCCTTCTTTGAATTCCAAGTTCACCAAACGCCTCATAATAAACGCATTGTTTCCTGCGGTCTTTTGCTCGTAGAAATCCTCAAGCTTTTTCCAAAGAGACTTCACATTAGTCTCACCCGATACATGATGAAACACACTAACGTCGATCCACATCCGAATATAACCGATTGTTTTCCTATGTTGTTTCTCTAATTCTTTATCAGTCATCTTTTCTGGCTTGGCATTATCTCCCTCAATAGGGTTATGTAAATCTTTACAATACAGAATATCTTCCATCTTGAACTTCCAAACTTGCCAATTAGAACCATCCAATTTCATCATTGTGCCAAAACTCTCCATATTTTCCATCCCAAAGCACACCTCGGACTAGGGCTCTGATACCATTTGTTAGGGATTTTATGGAGATTAATCTGCGAAATTAAACACTAAACGAATAACGACACCAATAAAAATACCACAAGCAAGCAAACACCAAGATTTAACGTGGTTCGATAAATCGTGCTTATGTCCACGGGGAAATCCAGATAGAAATATTTTACTATGAATCAAGAGTACAATTCCTCCAAGTTACACCTGAACTTGAGGAATAAATTACAAGAAAAAAATACAGTGTTACCTTTAGGGCACCAAAACCCTAAAACTCGTCTCACCAAAAATTTCTAACACCCGTGGAGAAACCAGCACCGTACCCTCGACGGTGTTGTTGTTATGAAGACAACGGCTTTTGAATCACTGCAATCGGACAACTGAGCTATCCGGAATCTGAATTTTTCTGTCTCTCGAATATTGTAGCATGTTACTGTTCACGATAGTTTCTTATATATAGAATTCTCCAAACCTATTCCTATTTCAAATAGATCATCCAAATCCACTTCTAGATAGAGTTTTAATTCATGTGAACCTCACGTGGGCCTTATCTTAGACTGGACCCACAACATATTCATGTTTCCATATCAACTATATGTTGTGTTCGGCGGCCAAATTGTTTTGCTTCGAGGAACCAAACCAAACGTCGAGATAGAAGGCTAAACAATTCAAGATAATGACAAAAACACAAACAAACAAATTTTACATGGTTCGGCAAGTTGCCTACGTCCACGGGGCAAGAAGGGGATGGGGTTTTCACTAATAGAGAAGAAAAGTACAAACTGAGATTACAAATCACTCAAAACAATCAACTAATCTTACCAACAAATCTCTAATTCTCTCATAAATAAAACTCTAACCAATAGCTCAAAAAATACCTATTTTCTGTGCTCCAAATATCCCCCAATCAATGTTTAATCAAAGCTCAATCAAAGCCAAAGAAACCCTAAAAATGTGTCTCTATTTATAACAAACACAATCCCAAACAGATTGGGATTCTAAAAAAAGAGTCTGTCACACTCGGGGGTGGCAGACACCACGCCCCTGAAAACAGGGCAGATTCTGTCACACCTGAGTGTGGCAGACACCACACACATGTCAACAGGGACAGATTCTGCCACCAGGATTTGGTGGAGCATGTCTTGCTTATTTTTCACGTTTTCCTCAAATTCCTTCGCCGTTTTCACACTATAGAGTTGCAATGGTCGTACGGATCCAATCAGTTTGTAGACAGTTTTCGTGTAAAATAACACCCAGTAGCTCCACAGGTCCAGGGTAGGAGTCGATGAGACGGTGAGGAGTTAGGTCAATATATAGACATGATAGGACTCCACGCTCCCCTGGCAAATAGAGCATTAATTCCACTACAAGAGTAAAAGTATCATCTGAATCTTTCCATTTTCCCGCCATCGAGCATGCATGGTCTGTGATTAGTCCTATAAACTGGACAGGTCTCCCACAATCTCTCTCAATCCAAAAACAAACCATGAAGCCAAGTCTTCCTACAATCCTTCAACAAGCTTACCTCTTCTTTCGAAGTCACCCCATAATCCTCTCAATACTCATCACCCTCTCCCTCCTCTTACTCTACTCCACAACTCGCAGGGGCGGCAAGGTAGTCATAAACTGGCCAATCTTTGGCATGTTTCCGTCCCTTATCACCAACAACCATCGCCTCCTCGATTTCTCTGCTGATCTCCTCAGAGAATCCGACTACACCTTCTCGTTCAAAGGCCCGTGGCTCTTAGGCATGGACTTCATCCTCACTTGCGATCCAAACAACGCCAATCACATGTTCAACCTTCACTTCTCCAATTACCCCAAAGGCCAAGAATTCTCAGAAATCTTCGATATTCTTGGAAATGGAATCTTCAATGTCAATGGAGATTCTTGGACCGACCAACGAAAGATGGCCCACGCTTTTATGAGTACTAGAAGGTTTCGGTCGCATGTAGGAGAGAGTACTAAAGTTAAGGTGACGAGAGTCGTGCTTCCTCTTTTGAATCATATCGCGGAGATTGACAAGGTTGTCGATCTGAGCGATGTGTTTATGAGATTCACATTCGATACGACTTGTGCTTTGGTTCTTGGTGTTGATCCTGGTTGTCTTTCTTTCGAGTTTCCAAGCATTCCGTTTGCAAAGGCTTTGGAGCACATCGAGGAGGTTTTGCTCTATCGACACACTGTGCCTATGGCTTGGTGGAAGCTTCTACGGCGACTGAATCTGGGGGAAGAGAAGAAGATGGCGGAGGCAATCATGGTGGTGGACGAATTCATTGGTCAATGTATTCGAGAGAGAAGAGAGAGTGCTCAAAAGATCGATAACGAAGAAGAATTCACTGATTTGTTGGCATCTTACATAGGTCATTCAGACGACAAGTTCCTTCGCGACACGCTTCTCACATTCCTCGGAGCAGGAAAGGACACCACAGGAGCGGCGCTTGTCTGGCTGTTCTGGCTAGTCGCCAACAGCCCAGACGTAGAAAGAAAGATCTTGGAAGAACTTGTTAGCCTTCGCCCACGCGACACAAGCATGAACGGAGATATGACCGTGTTTGATGCTGAGGAGACGGATACATTGGTCTACCTCCACGCCGTCTTGTGCGAAACCCTAAGGCTTTATCCCTCGGTCCCTTTTAATCATAAAGAAGCTTTGGATTCCGATCTTTTACCTTGCGGACATAAAGTTCGCCCAAGGACGAAGATTATTTTCCATATGTATGCGATGGGAAGGATGAAGGGAATTTGGGGGAAGGATTGCTTGGAGTTCAGGCCGGAGAGATGGATAACAGAGAAGGGGACACTGAAGCATGAGCCATCGTATAAGTTCATCGCATTTCATTCAGGACCGAGGTCTTGTTTGGGGAAGAGCACGGCGTTTACTCAGATAAAATCGATGGTGGCTGCGATCATGTACAACTTCAGAGTGCAGGTGGTTGACGGTCATGTTGTTGAGCCTAAGATTTCTATCGTGATTCAAGCGAAGAATGGGTTGATGGTTAAGTTGAAGAAGAGAGAGGTTAAGGAGCGCTACTGATAAGCGTCGTCGCGTTCTAAGGGTAAATTAAGTTGATACTTAAGTTAGTGGCTACTGGCTAGGGATAATGTTGTTCTTTGGATTGAGAAATAATCTGGCTTACCTGTTCAAGGCTATTATGCTTGCTTGCAGTGTACTAACAACTTTAATCGTTCAAGGAGCTTGATCAGATGGTGGTCTATATGGGGTTTATGACTTTTATTTAGGGTGCTAGACCATATTCATATCCGAGGAAATATTTGTAACTGTATCCATTACGATATGGATATGTTAACTCAAATATATAACCGATAGAATATGATTACAGATATGTTTTTGTAGTGAGATATCTGGATCCATATCCGAAATATTCGAATACATATTGGTCACACTGCTACAATAGTTTTAATTTGTAGATGAATGGATTTGAGGCTAATTTTGATGATCAAGATATCTAATCTTAGCTTTTCAAATATAACGAACATATTGCCGAACTCTTTTGCATCACATGAACTATATACTTTCTAATATTATCTAGTTTTCTCATATTCGTTTTATATCCTCATGCATATCCACTTATATATCAAGAATTGTACCCATTATTTATTTGAATTAGTCAATTAAGAACTGCACAAAAGGAAAAAAAAATTGCCGTCATGGAAGAAGACACTGATGAATTATGCCAGCAGTGCCGGTAAATTTCATCCATAAATCCCCATCGAAAAGCAAGAAACCAACTAAAATTTCACTATCAATCCCTTAACCACCGGAAAATTAACCAAAGCCCACACGCTCACTACTTCCTTTGTCCCATCTATTGCCATCAACAAACCAATACCCCTATATATACACTCAAAATCCCTACTTATTTCTTCACCAAAACACACTTTCAATCATCAAATGGCTTCAAAAATCCTCTTCTCCTTCTTGCTTGTCCAGTTACTATCCTCACCATCATTTTCAGCTCCTACAACATCCACCCTCTTCCGAGAATACATCGGCGCAGAATTCAACGGCGTCAAATTCTCCAACGTCCCCATAAACCCTCACATTGACGTCCACTTCATTCTCTCCTTTGCCATTGACTACACAATCTCTGATCCCTCTCCAACCAACGGTGACTTCAATATTTTTTGGGACACAGACAATCTTACCCCCTCCAGTGTTTCCACCATCAAAAGTACGCACAACAATGTCAAGGTTGCACTTAGCCTTGGCGGTGATAGCGTTGGCAATGGCTATGCATACTTCAATCCTTCCTCTGTTGATTCTTGGGTCAATAATGCAGTATCATCGCTAACAAAGATCATCAAACAGTACAATTTGGATGGTATTGACATCGACTATGAACATTTCAAAACTGATCCAGAGACATTTGCAGAGTGTATTGGTCAGTTATTGACTACTTTAAAGAATAATGGTGTTATCTCATTTGCCTCAATAGCTCCATTTGATGATGATCAAGTGCAGAGCCATTACTTAGCGTTGTGGAGGAAATATGCGCATGTCATCGACTATGTCAACTTTCAGTTCTATGCCTATGATTCAGGGACGACGGTTTCTCAGTTTTTGAGCTATTTTGAGACGCAAAGCACTAATTATAAAGGGGGTAAGGTTTTGGCGAGCTTTGCTACTGACAATACCAGTGGTGGATTGAGACCAGAAGGGGGATTTTTCAGTGCCTGCAATAGCTTGAAGAGGCAAGGAAAGCTTCATGGTATATTCATTTGGTCTGCTGATGACTCGATGAACAATGGGTTTCGCTATGAGAAGCGATCTCAGACGATGCTTGCAAGTTCTCATTGAGCTAAAGTTAAGACACTAGCATATATTGGTGTAAGATATGCATCTAATGTCATCTCATGTGTGCTCTTAAGTTCAGAAGTTGTGTGTGTGTGTGTGTGTATTTGCTGCTGTTCAATCTATGAATCATATTCATATGCAGGTTTGAATTTTGATATCTCCCATCAAGAAAACTCTCAAATATTCCTTCTAGAAATCCTAATGTTGACCAGCCCAAAAAGTGTAGAGTTTCTATGAGGATGAAGGAACATACCATATAATATGAAGTCAAGAAAAAGAAAACAGGAAACAGTTGAAATGCAACAACATACCCAAAATATTAGAGAGTCAAAAGGATAATAGTCATAGAAGGAGTGCTAATAGAGGAGACCAGGATTCAGATCCTAGAAGAGTCCACAGGCAATTAGTTATTGAAAAGTCAAGAGATACATGAAGATGACTTGTATCCCATAGTTGATGGTTCACAACATCTCACAGGTAGATTTCTAACTAAGAAAAAAGGTGTAAGAAGTTGAAAATCATTTTCCTAATGGTTCATATGAATGAGCTCCTTCGGGGAATTTTCAACGTTCAATCATAGCTCTATGTAACTATTCATAGAAGTCGATAATAAAATTACAAAACTGCTATTGTTTAGTCAATCAAATTGTATTGTAATGTACTTTAGTACTCTTTAATAGTATCACTATTTCATACGATAGATGGATCAATAAAATAAAATTTTAGGATTACTAAATAACGAGTAGATTCTGAACTAATATGTAAAACACTACATAAAAACAAAAAAAAGGCAAACTTAACACTTTGATATGTTTATAATATCAATATTAGAAAATAGATAATAGATAGAGAGACAGAAAATTTTGTCTAATATCACGGTGGTGGACACATTTTCACTTGTTTAGCCCAAAAACTCGGGGTTCGGCTATGAACATTTATTGAAGATGGTTGAAAAGAACAGCAGTACCTCCTCAAATAATCCACGCATCCTTATCATTTGAATATTCTCATAAAAAAAGTAGACACTAGACAAATCAACTTCCTATTCTTCACCAACCAATCATAGACTAAGTCCAGTTTTCTTGCAAATTTAACTATATAATACCCAGGCCCAGGATTCATTCATCACAAACACAAGCCCAAATCTCTCTATCTCCAATGTCTTCACAAGCTCTCCTCTTACAAACTCTCCTCATCTTCCTCACACTCTCATACTCATCTCAAGCCTCCAGCCTCTTCACAGAATACATAGGCGCAGAGTTCAAGGGTGTCAAGTTCTCCGATGTCCCCATAAATCCTAACGTAGATTTTCACTTCATCCTCTCCTTTGCCATAGATTATACTACAACACCAAATCCAACTCCCACCAATGGAGACTTTAACGTATTTTGGGACTCTACTAACCTCACTCCTTCCAGTGTTATTGCCATTAAACAGAACTATAGCAATGTAAAGGTAGCACTAAGTCTCGGTGGTAATAGTGTTCGTGACAGTGATGCCTACTTTAATGCTTCCTCCATTGATTCTTGGGTTAGCAACGCAGTCTCTTCACTAACAAAAATCATCGAGGAATACAATCTGGATGGAATTGATATCGACTATGAACATTTCAGTGGTGACTCTGACACTTTCGCAGAGTGTATAGGTCAGTTGCTGACAACGCTGAAGAAAAATAGTGTGATATCATTTGCTTCTATAGCTCCTTTTGCTAGTGACGAAGTCCAGAACCACTATTTAGCTTTATGGAAAAACTATGCAGATGTTATAGATTATGTGAACTTCCAATTCTACGCCTATGATTCGAGCACGACTGTCTCTCAGTTTCTGGGCTATTATGAGACCCAAAGTGCAAATTACAAAGGTGGAAAGGTTTTGGTGAGTTTTGCCACTGATGACTCTAGCGGAGGACTGAGACCGAGTGGTGGCTTCTTTAATGCCAGTGAGACCCTCAAGATGCAAGGAAAGCTTCATGGTATCTTTATTTGGTCGGCAGATGACTCCTTGAGCAATGGCTTTCCCTATGAGAAGCAGTCACAATCCCTATTGGCAAGTTAATAGATCTGACCATGATTATCAATGTTTCCTCGTAAAGTACATTTGAATCCAATGTATCACACGTTAAAATTTGACTATGTTAAAAGATATTAAGCTTCTCTATATTTGAAGTTTTGCATCATTAGGAGTTATAACCTTTCCTATTTTCTTCAGTTGTTCTTCAGACCTTACCCATTTGAATTCAGGAAGATTTCAAGCTTCACAAAATAACTCAATTCTGTCCAGGTTTGAGTTCAACCAACTAGCTAGCACCTCTTTCAGTTTCTTCAGATAAAAAATTATCCAAACATGTCGTCAGAGATGGTTGTTCTGTTGCCCTTCCCGTCAAAATCATGTGCTTTGTTTAACACACCAACTTTGTCTTTTCTTCTTTATCTTCAAATTTAGCCAAACCTTGCAATAGTATCATTATTAGAATTGGGAAAGAAAAGCCCCCTTCCATAATTAATTCTACTTAGTTATGGTTTGATGTGGCCGTCAACAACTAAGTGGACCTTGGACATTGTATATGATAACATCTATCATGCCAGTTGGGGACCAAACGACGGATTCGGATCCTCTCCACTATCTAAAAGGCAGTGGAGGAACCACTACATAATCACAACCATTGATTATCTAGTTGGTGGTTGTGATTTTTTCTTTGAGTGCAAATTAGGAATAAGGGATATGGTGAGTGTTAGATTTAGATTGTATCATAACCGTCTAATAAGTAATTAACGATTGAGATTAAAAGTAGTGGTCTTTCCACTACTTTTTTGTAGTGGAGAGGATCCAAATCCCCAAACGACCACCATAGGTATAACTTATAAGCAACTTAAAATAAACTATTCCACCTAAGGACAGAGATTCTTGACATATAAACCTCAGAACTCTTATTATCATTTTTTTCTCCAAAAAAAAACTCTACTTTATCTTCAAATAAGCCAGCGGCGCCGGTAAAATTCATCAATAAATCCATATCAGAAAGCAAGAAACCAATCAACATTTCACATCAATCCCTTAACCTCCGCAAGAACCGCAAGAATTAACCAAGGTCACACGCTCCCAAAATCCTCTGTCTCGTCTATTGCCCTCAACAAATCAATAGCCTTATAAATTCACTCAAAACCCCCTCCCATTTCCTCACCAAAACAATCAATCATCAAATGGCTTCAACAAACCTCATCCTCTTGTCCCTCTTCCTTCATTTATTACCCTCACCATTATCTTCATCTCCATCAACCTCCACCCTTTTCAGAGAATACATCGGTGCAGAATTCAACGGTGTCAAATTCTCCGACGTCCCCATAAACCCCAATGTCGACGTCCACTTCATCCTCTCCTTCGTCATCGACTACACGACCTCTGACCCATCTCCAACCAACGATGACTTCAACATTTTTTAGGACACCGACAATCTCACCCCTACAGTGTCACCACCATCAAAGATACCCATAAAAATGTCAAGGTTGCACTTAGCCTCGGCGGTGGCAGTGTTGGCAATGGCTACTCCTACTTTAATCCTTTGTCAATGCTTGGGTCAATAATGCAGTTTCTTGATTAACAAAGATCATCAAGCAGTATACTTTGGATGGTATTGATATTGACTATGAACACTTTAAGACTGATCCAGAGACATTCGCTGAATGTATCGGTCAGTTGGTAATGACTCTAAAGAATAATGGTGTCATATCATTTGCTTTGACAGCTCCATATGATGATGATCAAGTTTAGGCTCATTACTTACGGTTGTGGTGGAAATATGGGCACGTTATCAATTACGTTAACTTTCAATTCTATGCATATGATTCAAGCACGACGGTGTCTCAGTTTCTGAACTATTTTGAACAACAGAGTGCTAATTATAAAGGGGTAAGGTTTTGGCAAGCTTTGCTACTGATAAGACTAGTGGAGAACTAATACCAGAAGGGAGATTTTTTTAGTGCCTGCAATTGCTTGAAGATGCAAGGAAAGCTTCATGGTATATTCATCTGGTCTGCTGATGACTCGATGAACAATGGGTTTCGCTATGAGAAGATATCCCAAACTACGCTTGCAAGTGATCATTGAGAGGTAAAAGTCAGATAATAGATATTGGTGTAAGAGATGCAAATTATGTCATCTTATGTATGCTTAAGTTCAAAATTGTGTAGATGTACACTTCAGTTCACTAAATATGAATCATATTGATATGTGGGTTTGAATTTGCAACTCTCATGTGAACTAAACTCTTCAAGTTTCCTCCAATCTTCTAGAAATATTAACACTGACCGAAAAGTGGAGAGCTTCTATGAATGAGATGTAGGAAAAGAATTGAATCAAACAGATATTGGTTGTACTATCACACCAAAAACTCGAAGGAACAATCATACACATTTAAGGAAAAAATTCTGAAACATTTGGAATATAATATGTCTACATTATTACAGATATTCAAAAGAATAGTAGTCATGAAAGGAGTGCTAAAAGAGGAGATGAGGATTCAAATTCAAGAAGATGCCATAGGCAATTATTTCCCGAGAAGTAAAGAGGCATATTAGAACGAAGTTGAAAATCATTTTCCTAAAGGTTCGTTTTCATGAGCTCCTTCACTGAACTTTCAATGTTCAATCATAGCTCTGTATAACTATTCCTAAGAAAGGGGAGTCTAATAGGCTCCAACCAAATTGTGAAGTACTTCAAAAGAGAGACCCTATTCAATACTGTTAATTCTAATCTATCTAGTAGTATGAGACAAGAAAAATAGACTGATCTATAAAATAAAACTTCAGGACTTTTTTTTTAATACAAGTAGATTCCAACCAACGTGTAAAGCATTATATAGAACAGAAAAGCAAACCTCAAACTCCAATATGTTCAATACCAGTATTAGACAAATAGGTAGGATAGATAGTTGAAAAGAACAGCAATACCTGCTTAACTAATCAACAAATCCTTCTTGTTTAAATTATTCTCATACAAGAAGCTAAGACTAGACAAATCAACTTCTTGTTCTTCACTAACCAATCAAAGACCAAGCCCTACATTTCCTTCTATAAATACCAACATTCAGGATTCATTCATCACCAAAACACAAGCGCAGATCTCTCTTACATCTCCAATGGCTTCACAAAGTTACCTCTCCCCAACTCTCCTAATCTTCCTCTCACTTTCATATTCATCTCAAGTCTCCAATCCCTTTACAGAGTACACTGGTGCAGAGTTCAAGGGTGTCAAGTTTTCTCATTACCCATAAACCCAAGCGTAGATTTTCACTTCATCCTCTCCATTGCCATAGATTATACCAGATCCAATCAACTCCCACGAACAGAGTTCAACATTTTTTGGGACTCTAGTAACCTCAACCCTTCCCGTGTGACAGCCATTAAACAGAACAATAGCGTAGCATTCAGTCTTGTTGGTAATAGGCAATGCCTACTTCAACCCTACCTCTTTTCATTCTTGGGTTAGCAACAGTCTCTTCACCAACAAAAATCATCGAGTAATACAATTTGGATGGAATTGATAATTTGATATCAATGATGAACACTGCAATCCTGACTCTTGACACTGTTGCAGAGTGTATGGGTCAGCTGCTGACAACAATGAAGAAAAATGGTGTGGTATCATTTGCTTCTATTGCTCCTTTTGCTGGTGAGTAGTGACCAAGTCCAGAGTCAGTATTTAGCTCTATGGAAGAATTATGCAGATATTATAGACTATCTAAATTTCCAATTCTATACATACGAGTCAAGTACGACTGTGTCACAGTTACTGAGCTACTATGAGAGCCACAGTCCTAATTATAATGGAGGAAAGGCGTTGGTGAGTTTGCCACTGATGACTCTAGTGGAGGACTGAGACCAGAAGGGGGCTTCTCTAATGCAAGTGAGACCCTCGAGATGCAAGGAAAGCTTATTGTTAGTTTATTTGGTCAGCTCATAACTAATTGAACAATGACTTCCGCTATAAGAAGCAATCACAATCCCTGTTAGTGAGAAAGTTGTTGTGCTAAGTTAGCTAACATTGTAAAGTGTACATTGAATCCAATGTATCACACGCTTAAATTTGATCATGTTTAAAGCCTTAAGCTTCTCTATGTTTGAAGTTTTGAATGAACAAGAATTATATTCTTATTTTCTTCAGTTTTCTTCAGACCCACCAATTTGAATTCATGAAGATTTCAAGCTTCACAAAACCCATATTCTCTCTCCAGGTTTGATTTGACCAGTTCATCAGCACCTCTACCCTCTTCTTCACCGCGAAAAATAATCCAAACATGCCGGCAGGGTTTGCTTGTTTTGACGCCTTTCCTATCAAAATCATGTGCCTTGTTTAACATCCCAACTTTGTCTTCTCTTTTTTATCTTCAAATTTAGCCTACCATGTGACAGAATTATATTAGGATGGGGAAAGAAAAGGTTTCTCCATCATCAATTCCACTCTGGCAATGGTTTAATGGGATGTCAACAATACTAAGTGGACCTATGGCAGTGTATATGATGTTAACATGTCTTATGCCAGGTGTGGACCAAGTCATCACCATAGGTATAGCCAACTTAAATAAATTGTTGAACCCAGGAATATATATTGTTGACATATAAATCCCGGGACTCTGATTCTCACTTTAATTCTTCTTAGTTGGGTGGCAACCTGTCATCCTTACCAAGGGTTGTCACCTTCATGCGAGTATCCCTAACTTCTCCTAGGTGATGCAGGTTGATTGATTATCCTTATGAAAAACCTCAATGAAGACTGCAAAGATCGGCTCAAAGCTCAAAACCCTGTTCGGACAGCTTAACCTACTAAAGGTTTGAGCTAAATCTTGGAACTCTTGGATATCAATGATACAACAGTAGTATTCACTCCTCATCTGATGGAAAAACAACCATAAGCATGGAAAGTAACATGGTATATGGGCATAAAAGATGGTGAAATGTCAGATAGAGGAAAGTGGGTAGTGGATTAAATACAAAAGTTGCAAAATAGACAATAGAAATTAAATTTAGAGGGCACTAGCAAGTAGAAACTAATTAGTTATTCTTTTCCAAATATTTTTTTGATACACATGGAGATCAAATTGTGAGGTAACTAATACAAATCAAATCAATGCAAGTTAGTGATCCAACATAATCACATTCCAAAGAAGATCAAAAGAATGATCATTTATATTCACTTGGAACATGCTAAAAAGGGTCGAGAATCAAAGCCTGAAAAACATGAGTAACAAAAAGACAGATCACTAAGATGAATATTACTCATGATGATGATGAGCTGGCATAATATAGTATGCATGTATAATAGTTTATCAGAAGAATATGCATTTAAATTTAAAGATTTAGTGGAAAGAACCAAAGGTACAAGGACGACTGTAACAAAGAATCTAGAAATAAATATGAACTGTTTGTAAAGCAGCATGTGCTTCCTTGATAATATAACAAATGCTTACAGTTGAATGCACAGTGCTCTCAGAGGCTTTCTATATCTCTGCCACCATAAATCAGTATGCAGGCAGAATCTTCAATTCATCGGCAGGGCACCATAAAAAGAAGGTGACCATCCAGGGTGGCAAAGCTTAAGACTAGATCTATTTTGTTCAATCAGATCTTGGACGAGTGGAGCCACTTTTGTGAGAGCTGTTGTACAGGGGCAATAGAGAGCGAGAACCGTGTTTCCTCCTCCCATAGCACCGCCAATATAGGAGCAAAATCAATATCAACACTCCAATAGGAATCGCCCATCTGTTACATAACAGGAATAAGAATGTTTTAAGCTTTATCATGCAAATCTTAATATAGAGAGAATGATATTCAGTAGAGAACAATACCTATCCAAATCAAGAATAGGGCTATAAACTATTGTTTCCCAAGAAGCCACAATGAAATGCCAACCCGGATTGTAATATAGTGATTCTGCTGACCAGAACATCCTTGTGTAAGTCTCCAGGAAGATGAACATCACCCATCCCCCAATCTCCACCAAAAAGAACTTGATGACAAATCGTCCAACCACTACCGTAGCGAGAGAGAAGGCCACCAGCCAGTTGAAAAGCCTGTGATTGTAATCTTTGATGAAAAGAGTCCGTGACTTTCCAAGCATCTGAGAATAAGAAGAATTCACATTCAGATACATTTTTTTTAACTATTTAAACATAACCAGTTTAAAGCTAACAAAGACGCTATTTTAATTTGAGTCGTGTAATATCTTATCAGGGTTTGTGTATAATTCTACTCTTTAGCTTTTTTTTCTTGGCATTTAGGATGAGAATCAAATCAAGCACCAAAATGATATTCGTTACTGTGATGAAATTAACCACCAAGATTGAAGACAAAAAAGCAACATGCAGATCAGCTTTAAATAAAAATAGCAAATAATGAGAAACAAAAAGACCCCCTACCAAAAGTGCCAAGCAGTTAACACGCCATATAAAGTGGTTTTATTACAATTTAGCAATGCGAATGACATGAATAAATTGGGTGTGCATAACCCATATATAAAGGTCTCAAGTTATTTCCCCTCTATGGTTGTAGTTTACATTTAAGCTCATTCTAGAAAAGACAGTATCTTGCAAGGTTGTGAGTCATTTTTCACTTTGGAAAGACACATTCAGAATCTAGTTCAGGATACTACTTCCAGCAACCATAGAATGGCGGAGCGAGCTCAAAAAGGCAAATAAATATTGCAAGAACCAAGGTTATATAGCTTAGACATCGTAAAGGTTATTTGATGCAATCTATAATTCACACCTACTAGCACCTCAAAAGTATCTTCATACAAAATCTGTATAACTATATACTACCAATATACATTCCCTTGTGTAAATTATCTCTTGAAATTCTCAGGCAGCGAAAACAAATATTGCATGATTGTATATGGTGAAAACTTACCAAACATGATATGGATTGAATCATATCCCTAAACTAAGATATTTCAAATATAATTAAGTAAAAGCATGTCAATTGTAAATGCTAAATGGATTTCCAAAAATATGTACAAGAAATGACAAAGACATGATTTAAATACAAGCATCTGTGTCAGGGTAATACTGACCTTTGACATTCTCTGTTCGTAATTTTTTTTGGAAGGCCCGACACACTCTTCTTCAAAACTTCGGTTACATTGAAGAAAACCAGCATTGAACTTTGCCATTGAAGGAAGTCTCAAGACTTGCAGCTGGTCCATTGTATCCTCACACTGTGTGTATAACGCCTCACACAGTTTTGATGATTGATATTCATTTGCCAGAAGGAAATTTCTATAAACCTGCAGAGGAAACCATAATGTTTTTACACAACAACATGATATGTCAAAGATAATGTATAACTAGACACAATCATGAAACCTTGCAATCTGCACTTTGTGAACGTTAAAAGATTTAGTCTCAAACATGAAACATGACATTTGTATATAATCTAAATTCAGTAATGAATTATGTACTACAATGATCTCTTCTAAAGTTATGTGATTCTTCCCATTATGATTTTGCAGGGAGATTGATGATCTGTCAAACTCATATGAAAGTTTTTGAACATGTGTAAAATATAAAAGATTGAATCAATCATTCTTTTTATCAAAATGAAGCTTCTTAATCAATGTTTGACCCGGAATCTACAAGCATACCTTCTGTATTTCCTCATAAAGTCTGATGATAGACTGTTTAGCATGATGGCGACCAAAATGTTGTTGATCGAATAGTTTTCTTGCTTCAATTTTCGCTTCATCATGAGCCTGCTCCAATTTGCTCTCTGGTACTGGTAAATGCAGCTTATCCATTCTTTGATTGTACAACTTCATGCACCGTTCCAGAATTACCTTATTGAAGACCTCGACAAGAGAACCTGTAGATGGAATTTCCCCTTTGTTCAAGGCTTCAAGAATCTGAAACACCAATTAGGGAGTACAATTCAATATAACCACAATATGCCAGCTATTGTGCTCATGATCATGCTGCATGAAAGCGAAAGATGATACTACAGGAAATAAATTATACAGCTTAAAAAAGAAAAATGGCAATGCAATTAAAGAAACACCTGCTCCAGCAAGGAAGCAAACTCCTTCCCGCTAAGAGTTTTTCCCTGCACAATCTTTGGACGTATAACAGTAGCAACAAGTTCTTTCAATTGCTCCCTTCTTTCAACATATTTCGGTTCAAGCTCACTATCATTCATATCACAAAGTTTTGTTCTTTGAAGATGAGGCTGCCAAACAATCCCACCACTATTAATGAGCATTGAAAAGCACATAATCATGAAATATCCACGTGTGTGCATAGAGGGAATGAGTGATTAGGATCTAAAATTTGGATTTAAGCTTAGATCCTATCAATTAAAAAAGTATATATTTTGCAACAAAATAGATGAACTAGATCCAAATCATACAAAATGCCTGTGACAAATATTTTTGTGATATCTTTCAAATGAGATCAAAATCCACAGTTTCCAACATCAAGTTGCTTTGTTTACAGCTTAAAATATTTTAAATGTAACAAATTCGGTAGAAAAGATTGTTCACAATTTAGATCAAGATCAGTAGTTTAGTGTGATAATAATGAACCTCCGTTTAATAGTTTTGTTCAACATGCTATTCTACTTCGAGTTTGTACGTTGTTCGTATACAGGCAAACATCCTCAAATCACATGATTTTTTTTACTTTCAAAACCTGATGATTTCGTAAGACCTGAACTTGAAAGAGGACAAACATAGATTAGCAAAAACAGCATACCTGTGGTAAGCTAAAGGCTGTACTATTATCACCCATAATTGCAAGGGATTCCCTAATCTGGTTTACCTAACAAAACAGAAAATAGAGACACATATAAGAATCACATGCAGTCCAATCAACATAAAATTTGATGCCGAAGTACCTGATCAATGTTTTTGTCACCTGTAGTAACAAATAAATATGATTTATTAAATGCATTTCAGAAAAGTACCTGATCAATGTTTTTGTCACCTGTAGTAACAAATAAATATGATTTATTAAATGCATTTCAGAAAACTTTTGTTAAAATCACATCAATTATGAAATCTAACTAAAACTAACCATCAAAATTGGGGACCCGTTTGAGAGCTTCATTCACCATTTCTTGAACGGATTTCCCTTCTGTAAGAAGGCATCAAATCATACTTTGAGCAAACATGGAACACCAACTATCCATATAGTGAAATTGGAAAAAAGTGAAAACAAGACTAAACATCTAAAAGCTGCATGATGAAGAGAGTACCATCTGTTTTTAATAATTTGATATGGAAGTACTTGACAAGAAAAATAGAAAAGCTTCTGAACTTACGTAGGAAATCCCGTTGGATAAGCCACACAAGCTTAGCAGGCTGAAATGCAATATCCTGCCCCTGTAGAGAGCACCAGAATATCAGCTATTAAAACATCCATGAAATAAATATAAATTTCAACTCATTATACTAAGACAGTGGATTACCTTCACTCTGTTTACCATGCAACATCAAGATAACATTCAAACTGTTATTAGCTGAGAATAACAAATTAAGAACACAAATGACAAAGTATTAAGCAATGCAACAAACCTGCCGTAGAATTCTTCCGCAATTTCAACAGCGAATGACAAACGAGATATGTCAGCCTCACGAATCTACAACCAACATAAAAAATGTAGTCACAGATGGGATGAAAAGGAATATTTCTGGTTCGGTATATATAGAACCTTCAAAGAAGTTAATATGTGCCCATTAAAGGCCAACGAAGTTTGCTGCCAGATAGAGAACGAACCGTCTCAGGTAGATTATATATGAGCGCAGAACTCATGATCGTCGCCAGAGCAAAAATCCTGTGCAAATAAGGGGAACAGAATAAATGTAGGCATTTGAACAAAATAGACCTAATCTTTACTTGAGCAATACTAAGTTGTGGCTAGTTGCCGTTAACATTGCAGTCAGAGTAAAAATCCTCCAGCATGTAAGCAAAGAATGTAAGCTTCTTAAATAAGTCCTCCAAAAAAGGGGTAAATTTCACAAACCATCTGAACTTTGGGGTAATTTACACAAATGCCCTCTAAACTTTAAAATTAGAGAAGACTACACAAACTTGTCTCACTTTGCTGCCATGACTAACACCATGATCAAAACTCGACTTTAAAAACCCAAATGAGAGAAGCAGAAAAGTTCTTTTTGGAACTAAATCCCTCTCAAAAATTAAGTTTCAACCGCTTCTACGTCGCTATGTCGTCAGGATTTGGGGTAAATTTCATTCTAGGGTTGTAGGAGAAGAGGTGGGAAATGGGAAATTTTAATTTTTTTCACAGGGGGAGGGGGTAAGTTTTTATGGTTTTAATTAGAAAGGGGGTTATTTTTAAAAATGATATTTTAGTCATTAACCATGATCCTTTAAGTCCTTTTGTGGAATTTTTTAAAAGTTCAGGGGAGGGGCACTTTGTGATATTCCCCAAAGTTTAGGGATGCTATCTCTAATTTTCAAAGTTCAGAGTGCTTTGTGCAAGTAAACCCAAAATTCAAGAAGGTTTTGTGAAATTTACTCTCCAAAAAATAATAGATCACATTTGCACCACTGACTTGTACAGAAACTGAATTTTTTTTCCTTTTTCTTTTTTTTTCTTTTTTCTTTTTGAGGAAGAATTGTTCATATTGACCCTTGATTATTCAACTTCAGGACTCATATAAGTTTTAACACATCCTAATAAAACAGAAAAATGTCAATTACTCTGCTCTGTTTATAATGGTTTCTAACAAAGCTAGTAACATGCATTCTATTAAATACCACCTTTGAAATGTTTTCCAACAAATTAGTACTTGTCATTCCTATCATCCTATGTAAAAAAAAGTTTTACATCTGACCCTTAATGAGTATTAAAATTATAACCCTCACCACAACTTTGGAGTCCTCAATCCTCACCATAACTTTGGAGTTTTTGATACAAGGGAAGGGACCTTTAGCATGATATCAGAGCAATGTTCAAAACTTCAAATCTTATTGGCCACGAATTTAAAACAATTTTAGAAAATGATATTGTTGTATGAGTCCAGGTTTCACCCCATAGGAAAAGGGTGCTCAACCTACTAAGCACACTAGAATATAAATTTTTAACCCTCAATCCTCAGCACAATTTCGGAGTTTTGGTATAGTACAAGGACCATCGTTGCACGATTCCCTAGACACCCCCTCGAACCGTCGTACGGTTCCTGTGAACCGATTCCATGTACATTTGCGAACCGATTCCCTCCGATACACAAACCGGTTCCCCAAAATTGGCGTACCACATACAAGTATGCTAGATGCAAAGTCTCTTTTAGTGCACGTGCGCAAGACGCAATGCAATGTGTGCAATTAAGTGAAGTGAGACACACAATAGAGTATATGAGCTGATGACTGCAACTAAACATGTATGTTAATTAAATTTAAAACGAAGCCATGATCCTAAAACGAGCTCTATATAAAAAACAGAACTAAGAAACAAATTCCATCAAAAAGAAGTATTTAAATATTTTGTATGAAAAAATATTAAAATTCATAATTAGCTTCTAGTTTTCTACTATATACTCTGAAAAACTTTAATTACACTAGGAAAAAATTTACAATGTGCCACTAACCGAACTTGCATATCGAAGCAAGCTACCCCCTAACGAATCTAAATTTTCTAAGTGGCAAATTGTGTATCCGAATTCATACTTTGACCCGCTATGTGTTGCGTACTGTGTAACTATGGCAGGGACCTTTGACAATATAAGCGTTTTCACTACATGCCCAAAGTTAAAATTATGAGAATGTTTTTTTTTTACTTTTTGGTGACTATGCTGAAGAAATTTTACAAGACGCTTGCCAAAAGTCTAGTTATGCATGAAAGTAAGACCAAACCTGTCATCATAGACATTTGACTTTCCAACACTTTCAAATCCTTCGGTATCAATGTATAGGACAGAGACTTTTTGTCCATCAATAGTCATTTCAACTGGTGTACCCCAAACCCATATTCCTGCATAACACAAAGTGTTGTCAGTGATATACTGATATCAAGCTTGTGACAAAGAAAAAACAGAGATCAATGGAGCTTCTTTTACTTATTAACCTTTCGTCTTCGTATCACGCATATGTCCAACTCCAAAACCTGCAAATGGATATCCCTTTATTAGTTCAGATATTACTAGTTTAATTCAAGGAAGTAAAAATAAGCAAAAGAATGCACCTTTATCACATGGAAGGGAGAGAAGTTGATTAAGAAGAAACGATTTTCCTGAGCGGTATGGACCAATAACCTGAGATCACAATCGCTGTAAGGAAGACTTGGCAAACCATTTATATGAAGGAAAAAAATATATAATTGAAGCTGGACGTCTAAACGTCCTATATCGTAAGTAGTGGTTCATCCGTTCATGCTTCAAGAATTATGTATGGAAAAACAGCAAATTCACCACAAGATAGATAAGATCCCACTCACAAATGAATATCTTTCAGACAAATATGACAACAAATTGAGACAGAGCAAACTCAAAGGGAAACCAAAGAGTATACAACTGCCTGCAATAGCAGACCACATGGCATAAGCAAGACATTGAGGAAAGTTTTTCACCTTACCAAGAAGGTAAGCCACATATCTACAAAAATACAAAGCAGTTACTGCCCAAAACCAAAGCCAAGTGGCCATATCCAAATTTGACTCTGACTTTCTAAAATGTTCTTTAAAAAATGTCTAGACAGAAGCCATGTCTTCTTTTTAAGTAGCTTAGGAAGTTTCCAGGAACTACAGCTGTTGTTTCTTTTCTGAAACAACGTGGAGTACTTTTCATATATGCATGAAAATTGAAGCAAAGTAAACTGAGACAAGAAACAGCAAACTTCTATAGTCTAGGTATAGGGATAGATATGTGTGTGCATATGCATATATGAAAATTGAAGCAAAGTAAACTGAGACAAGAAACAACACGCTTCTATAGTCTAGGGTATATGGATAGATATGTGTGTGTTGTTTCTTAGCCAAGTGGCCATACGTTTCGATAATATTATTGAAAGTATTCTTCCAATATGTGGAAGTTATTCAAAGTTAATAACTAATTTCTAGATCATTATTTTTTTAACTGATGTTACTAAGAAGATTTTGTCTCGGCCTATTAGTAGCTCTTTAGCTGAGAGAATTTGGAGTACTTATTTATTCCTACATTTATAGTGTGAAAAGGAATGGATTGAACAGTGGAAGGGCGTATAAGTTAGTATTCATCCATTTAAACATTCGCCTGTTGTCACGATTTTGTGATAATTACAAAGTCGATCCATATAAAGGATGGGATATGAATCGCAGTAATGATAACTTGGAGGACTCTTCAAGTAAGTTGGAGGAGTTTAGATAGAATTATTTGAACTCGGAATTAACATAAGATGCACTTGATGTTAAGGGGGAACAAGTTGCAAAATAGAAAAAATTTATAAAGAGGTTGTCCAATATTTAATATTTTAATTTTATGTATTCATAAATTATAAAAATGAAGTATTAAAATATTGTGTATGCAAAAAATATTGAAATGCATAATTAGTTTTCTAGTTTCTGATTTCCTACTATACGCTTTGAAAAATGATAAGCGTACCTAGAAAAAATTACATTGTATCCTATATCGAACTTGCGTATCAAAGCAAGCTACCCCTGTCGAATCCAAAATTTCAAAGTCTCGAAATGTGTACCCGAATTCGTACGACGACCGGCTACGTACAGCGCACCATGTAACTATGACATAAACATGGCCAATGGTCTCTAACAATATAATTTTGATTGAACAAATCAACTAATTAAGTAGACCAATTCAATTCACAACTAATTTAATTCCTTACAGTCATTAGAACTTTTATTAGAGTGGCTGCATTCAACATGATTCAGACACTGGTATTGGAGCCATAAAGAAATCAACGTGCGTTGTACAGTGCACCAAAGATGGGGGGAGAAATCAAGTTACATATTAGACAAGAAACAAACAATAAAATTCTCCCACATTAGGTACCACAATGAACAAGAATGCTACCAAGGTCAATCATGATTAACTTAATGACCAGTTTACTTCTCCTATTAATATGAAAAATTTTGTCAACAAATTTACTTCAACTATGACATCGACCAACAAGTCTTATCACATTACTTAGGAAACAGGATTTATATTATGGAACCTTCTTAGTACATGGCTGTCATGGTTGATATCCTGTATGTAGTTAGCTACAACTTTGTTTTCTACACGACAAATAAAGATTAAAAACTGCTAAGTAAAAGTTTAGCGACAAAAAGTAGTGTTTTTCATTTCCTTTGTTCTCTTTACTTCTAGGGAATGAAGTCTACCATATGTTGTAACAATTGAGTGCTCAGCTTCATGCTCTTATTACTGGATATCGTATAAAGACCAAGGAAAAACCAACTTACGCCAACTACTGCTATAGGAGTTGTAATTCTTTCAATAACACGCAGGCCTTCTCTTGAAAGACGAAGTTTGGTATGACCAGAATCTGGCTCCACAATTGGAAACCTGTGGATGTGATAATCAGTAAGTACAAAGAAATATGCAGAGATCTTTGGACACAGTTCAAAGGAAAATATGGAGCAATTTAACACTGATGTTTGCAGATGAATGATGTGTCAGCATCGCTAAACTACGAGAACGGTTAGATCTTTAGATAACAAAATGGTATATTTTAAAAATAAGAACACAGCCTTTCGATAATAGTGAGTAGGGAAGATGCAACATTCTACCATAAGCAACCAAGTCAGTAGAAAAGGGCAGTTAGGAAAGTAAGAAACATGGATATTTAGGCCTCTAAGTTGTTCAATATCTATCCTAATTAAATAAAAATTCTGTGAGTGAAACTATTCTATTAAGGACCTTTAATTCGACTACAATATTTGTTTAATGCATTATGTTTTAAGTCTTTTCTCATCAGTGGCTTGCTGCAAAAGTCCTCCAACTCCACCCAAATATCCACAAAAGAAAAAAGGTGGGGACTTGATTTTCTCTTTTCAATGTTATGCTTCGTAGATGCATGTGAAAAGTGGTATAACCTAGTTTTAGCAACTCACTGAAGTTTTTCTAAACCTTTACCAATAATATTATGCTTGGATTGGGTTTAGCGGAAATTCTAATTAGATCATCTCTATCTTGTACTTTTTGTATCCGCTAAGTCACTGCTTCATACTAATAAATCCATTATTTGAGACAATTTACAATTATTTAATCTGTTTATAAACACATGCATGATAAAAGATTTAAAGAAGCCAACTGCAATCATATACACTGATGGGGAAAATTAAACCTACCCTCGTGAATTTAATTCACAATGCAACAAGAAAAAACAATTTTTTTTCAGTAAGTATCTTTCATTGGACTCATTAACAAACCGAAAAACAAAAATCTTGAGGAAATTCAACTTACGCTCGATGGAACTCCTCATCATCACAAAACCCAGATGCGAGCAACCATCCAAATATCACCCAGATCACGAAACCTCTCCGAAATAGCGCCATTGTTGTCCTTTTTTGAGATCACAGCGCGAATTTTGAGGGGAGAAGATCGAGAGTAAACGCAAAGGTGCCTCTTTTATGCAGAGGCATATAGAGCGAGGAGTGAGGAGATCTCCCAGTTGAGGAGATGTACTCCGGTGCAAGCTAGGGTTATCGTGATCCCAAAGAAATTGGAGAAGAGAGATTGAGAGGGGAAGGGATCTCTGAATTATGAGACTGTCTGCGTTTTTGGGGAGATTGAGAAGGAGAACAGAATTTTAGTCGGTGACTATTTGTAACTGTTATTAAAGAGAAGGGTTTTTTTGCAAATTTACTTCTATGAGAATTGAGAAGCCATTGGCTTCGGGCTTAGACTTGGTTTCGGTTCTTTCGGAATTTTATTTATGTTATTTTATTAGATTTTTAATATTAGTTCCCACACCGTTTATATATTGACTTAATCCCTTAAATCTTCATATTTTTAATTAGTCCCCCAAATCTAAATGTTTTCAAATTCCGCCAAATCTGAGTGTTTAGTCCCTCAAATCTTCATGATTTGAAATTAGTCCCTCAAATCTTTTGACTGTTTTTGAAATTAGTCATCTAGTTAGCTCCAGTTTGAAAGATGGAAGGACTAATTTGAAAACACTTAATAGATTGCAGAGGCTAATTTCAAAATGTTTAAAGATTTCGGGGACTAGTTCAAACTATAGAAAGTTGGAGGACTACATTGAAAATATGAAATCTGTGTCTGACTCAGATCGAAAATATCCAATTTTATTTTGGACGCCTTCTTTGTTCTCTTATGTTTTTATTTTCTTTTCGAAAAATATCTTGATTTTATCATAATAATGAAGCATGCCATAGCCCATTTTCAATCTTTTTATCGCTGTATATACAGGAGCTAGCTACTATTTTTTGTAGGAAATGAAATTTAAAAGACAAATGAGTTGTTTCTGTATGCTTTAAAAATCTTACGAGATAGTTTGAATATACGATGAAGGATTGAGTTTGACACTTGTTTAGGGATTCTTTCATAATTGTCGATATATAATGGTATTCTGAAATTTAGTACATTAGTGATCAAAGCACTTTTAATGGTGATTAAATTTCTATGGGCTCGCCTGCGATTAAAAATTACTTGTAAAGACGGAATCCATGTTGTCTTTCCAAACGAATGGGTTGTCAAAGAATTGCTCATTAACTACTGTTTTCCCATAACCAGGGTTTGATGCTTTGCATGACGTATCAAGATATTACTTGTTTTTTTATTTGCTGATAGTGTCGCTTGCTACATAGTTGCATAATGGCTGTTGTAAAATCCTCATGGTTTCACTTATTTATTTATTTATTTGAGATAAATAGTTGGAGTGTTAGGGCGCGTTTGGTTGCGTTAAAGAGGCGTTGAAACGGGCAGAAAGCCTGCCAAAACTAACAAAAGCTGTCAGTTTTGGCAGGCTTTCTTGCAAAAACGCCACTAAAACCCTTATACTAACTCTAACCATAAAATATAATTTTAAAATATTATATAGTTTTAATAATTATGTTAAAATTGAGTGAGTAAGACTAGAATAAACGTAAGTTGTAAAAAAGTTGGTAAAGAAAAGCTCCTACTGATAACTGAAATAAGAGGGAAACCAACTAGTCTCTTTTTAATCAAAAAATCAAACTATCTACAAATAAATTACGTTTTTTTTTACGACTCTTATTTTATTATAGGTCATTATTACAAGTGACCTCAAAATATCACGAATTAAAAAGAAAGTCCTTTTTTGCTCTGCAATGGGCTTGTGGCCCATGGATCTCCTAGGAAAATGTATTCCACCATACAAGGTGACGTGGCTATTGGGCTTCTCTATTTCCCGTCACCAAACAAATTGAAGGCCGATTTAATATTCAAACCTAGCCCATTCAACGCTTCAAAAATTTCTACCGCTTGAGTATGCAAAATTCCTCCCGCCACAAACTCACGAACACACCCATTCACCTCAATCATGCTACTCCCAGGCTCTTTCCTCACTCCCTTCCCTTTCATCGCCATTCTCATGCTCGCTGCATCGAAAAATTCCTCATTGTTTGCATATCCATTCGCTAGCATCACATATCCGCCGCTATCCCGAGGATCCGACTCGAAAATCCCCATCGCAGCCCGTGTAGCAATCTCAATATCTCTGATACTCCTAGATCCCGATAATAATGATCCCCACATTATCTTGTCAGCTTTCATCGGCATTGTAGATATTAGTTCTTCTGCTTCTTTTATTAGCCCTTTTCGGGCTAACACATCGACTAGACAACCATAATGCTCGACTCCAGGCTCAATGTTGTATATTTCGCTCATTAACGAGAAATAGTATCGTGCTTTGTCAACATATCCACAGTGGCTACAAGCAGTGAGAATACTGATAAAGCTTACACGATCTGGGCTTATCCCAGAAGATTCGAGCCTTGAGAACATTTGGATCGCATCTTTTCCATGTCCATGGATCGCTAGCCCCAAAATCACTGTGTTCCATGTAGATAAGGATTTTACCGATGCATTATCGAACACTTGTATAGCCTTAGCTAAATCGCCACACCTGCAGTACATATCGATAAGCGCTGTAATTACAATTGAATTGCACTCAAGTTTGTTCTTATCGATGTATTCATGAATCCAATTGCCTTGCTCTAAGGCTCCTAAGCTTGCACATGCGCCTAATAGACTAACCATTATGTGCACATTAGGCCCGACCTCTTCGCATTGCATTCGATGAAATAGATCCAATGCTTCGCTATCCTTCCCATTTCTCACGTAACCACTAATCATAGCACTCCAAGAAATCAAACTTTTTGAAGGCATTTCATCGAACAAGCATCTAGACTCATCAATCAATCCTTTCTTAGCCAATCCCATGATCATAGAATTGTACGGGACCAAATCAAACTCGTTACAATCATCAAACAACCGATAGGCCTCGGGTAAATAACCACACGTCGCATACATAGAAATCATAGAATTGAGCACATAACGGTCGGAATCAAGCCCGTGTTTGACGACAAGCCCATGGGCCTGAGCACCTTCGCGAGCCGAGCAAAGTTGCGCGTATGCGACGAAGAGAGAAGGGTAAGTGAGGCGTTGAGGTTGTGTAGGAGAGTGTAACATGTCAATGAAGAGAGAAATGGCTAAGTGTGGAGCTGAGCTCTTGGAGAGAGATCGGATGAGGGAATTCCACATGAATGGAGTTGGATTTTGAGTGTGAGAGAAGAGGAGGATTGCATAGTTGAGATTGCCAAAGGCGGAGTTTGTGCAAAAGTTGTGGAGCCGGCTGATGGCAAAAGGGTCTTTGGCTAGGCCAGTTTTGATGATTTGGGTGTGGATTTGGTGGAGGTCTCTCATGCTAGTGCATTTGCTTTCTAGGAGGGTTAAGGAAGGGTGAGAGGAGATGAACTTGGAAATGGAGGGAGAGGAGGAGAGTGAACAAGTGAGTGTCATGAACATTTCTTACTCTTGAGCAAGTGAGTGAGAACATCCCTCCCTCCCTCCCTCCCCCCCTCTTACTTAGGATGAGTGGATAAGGCTGTTTTACTTGAGGCCTAGAATTTTTAGGATTTGAATTTGGCACGCAAGATTGTGTAGCTAGGTAGATAGATAGGGGGGCCATTTTACAAGAGGCATGGTGATTAATTTTTCAATTTGAAGATGACCTATATATTTTAGTTCTAATAAATTGGTTTATAATTTTATCAGCTCTAAACACGTTTTAAGGCCTAAAATCGGCTTAAAAAGCCTCAATCCCAGCCCAGTTAGTTGTCAGACTAGCTAGGGTCAAGACTTAAAATGGTTTTTGTTCCACTAAACCAGTTTAAGCGGAGTTGCTAAATAGGCCCATAGGTGTTAAGCCATTTTATGCGTAATCCTAGCAAACCGCAAACACGAAAGGCATTAATTCGTCACTCACTCCACGGCAGCCCACCAGTCCGTGCAAAATCCTACATCGCGCACGACCTCGCCCCAATCCTTGCGTCGTGTTTGTTCGTCAAAGGAGCTTTCGATCGGGACTCGGCCCTAATTCCACTTGAAGTGTTTGTTCATGCTAGCTCGCAGCTCACGCAGCCATCAGACCTAAACAACCACAGAAACGTCATACTTTCAACAACCCCAAGCTATCGGGGGCACGTAATTAACAACCCTTTTTCGTCATGCCCAAACAAAGAGCAATAGTTGATGATTAAATAAATAGCATCTAGAAGTCCATACCTAATTAAATAGAATATATAGAAACATACATAATTAAGCGTTTTTCAATTTGTTCTTCTTCACAGCAAGAAGCAACATAATTTAATTCGATCTTGGCCTCTGGATGCCGATGGCGTCTCCGTAGAACGAGACGGAATCACACCGTATATACCAGCAAAATTTCGAGGACCACCAGCACCAGAGAGCCAACCACAAGCATAGAGTGTCTTCATCTCCCACGTACAAAACCAAAGCAAGGGCCCACAAAACAAGACCCTATGCTCTTGTTCTTTATAATTTCGTGAGCAATTAGATTATCATACTTGCACATATCCTCTAACCTTTTCCTCGATCCTTAGAGAATCCAAGAATATATACCTTCTAAAACCCGTCATCATTAATAAAAGGAAATTGATTATCATGTAACGTGAGCTGCTGATAGTAGATAGAGACTTTTGTGTATTTTCTCTTGCAAAAAACACCTCTTCCAATCTTCCCATATTATTATAGAATGTATGCACCAACCCAATTATTTATGAAGTATGATCAGATAACCCTTCATAACTTTCAAATGTCAGAAAGGCTCCCCTTAAGCATAGACAGAAAACCCTCAGTAAACTCTAAAATTTTATTAGAAAACCTATTTAACCTCGGATTTCATTAGAAAATCACCCTAAAGTGTCACTTTGTGAGGAGTTTTCTGATAAAACTTCAAAGTTAATAGGAGTTTTTCAATAAACCCTAAACTTAAAGGGGAGTTTTCTAGTCTTTTTAAAGTTATGTGGGCTTATCTGATAATTGTCCAAAGTTAAGGGTGTTTTCTAATTTTTAGCCAACATGATAATACATGTTGGACCATTTTTTTAAAAATAATACTTAACACTTTGTGAAAAACAAAGAACGCACGTTAAACTATCTCTTATCATTCGGAATCACATAATTTAAAAAAAAAAACGCATGTTAAACTATCTCTTATTATTCAGAATCACATAATTTCTTATCATTTAAAATATCCTTTTTTGAAGCTTATATAGCATTTGAACTAATGAATTATCTTTTAGCCATAGATCTTGAATCTAAAGAATTAACGAACTTTCATCTCGAAAAAGGAATAAAAAAAATTTGTAGATATGCTCAGGTGCCCATTCCTAAAATCAATGTTGTCATTTAATTGCATTAAATCCTCTTGCCCCTCTAGAAACAGGGGGAGGGGAACACACAAGCAAATGATTAACGCAATAACCAATTCTACGGGGTTTAATTTGCATAAAACCGCTTCACCCGGATTCGGGACCAAAAGCGCCGGCGCCCACGATGGATCACCATCCGGCCAAAGGGGTTGTAGGCATGCAATCTTCAAACTGGGACCCACAAAGAGCGGCCTTCGCCGCACCGCGACTCTCAATCCTGGCCGTTCGATCGGGAACCACCGTGACGTGTCACGTGCAGGTCCACCGGAAAAGGGCATGATACACGCCTTCACCAATTAAAATTAGGAGAAGGACATTATTTCAAAAAAAAAAAATCCTTTATATATAGGATTTCGTCGGCCTCTCGGTAACCTCAGGGCTCCTACCGATTCCTTCTTTTCGCTCTTAAGTTCGAATTCTCTCTTACGATTTCAATCTCAAGGTAAAGGGGGGTAGAAAGTTTCCATTGGCATTATTAGGTTGTTAAATTTTCTTATCATCGCTATTTTTATTTAAAATGGTCACGAGTGGTTTTCATAAGATTCTGATTTGCTATTTAGAGAATTTTTATCCGTCGGCATTATTAGTTTCGCCTAAAATGGGTAGATTTCTTCGTTTCCCTTGGATCTGCGTCAGTTTAGGGTTTGTCTTATTTGGATTGTGATGGTTGCGGAATGGCCCAAGAGGAAAAGATTGGATCTTGGTTCGGTAAGTAGTGAGACAGCAAGTTTGCAGTAGGAAAGTTAGGTTTTCTGCGGTTATCTGCTTTTGTTCCGTTTGTCTATTCAGTTATTGAGAGCACCTTGTGTTGTATGCTTCTTCATTATCTAATTTTTAATTATTGGTGCTTCTTTTTTTTCGAAATGACGACAGTTTGGGTTGGGGGAAGTTTAATATTAAGCCAAAGTTTGATGCAATTTAGATATACGGTTAGTATTGCAGCACATATCGTTTTGCGGGGTTCTGCTTTGGATCAGGCTTCAGTCTGTGAATTGAGGTCGGCACGTTGAACTGCCCCCCCGCCCCACCCCACCCCCCACCGAACACAAAAAGTTTTTTATATGGATCTAGACTTATCAAATTTGTATGCATTACCTCTCTCTTGCCCTGGAAGAATTAATTAGGGGATATTGTGAAAACCTTGTCATCCATGTATTTATATTATAATGCTTTGTATTGTCCTTAGCTTCGATGCTGCTTGAAGGGGTTTTATTTTTGTTTTTGTTTTAATAAATACTGCATGAATATTTTGAGTCTAAGGGCTTGTTTGGATGATAAGTATTGGAAGTAAGAAATAGAATAAAGAAGTAACTTCTAAAACTATGAAGTAAGAAGTAGCGGAAGTAATACTTTTTTTGTCTGTTTCACACATTTTCGGAAATAGTGGAAATAGTACTTCTTCTACTTCATTCACTTCTTTTATTTGGATAACATTTGAAATATTGTTAGGAAGTAACTAATACATAATATAAACCACAAGGAGATTATCTCCCTTTATTATATTTAACAAATATCATAGCACCCTAACAAATATTATAGCATTATAGATTTAATTATGACAACTTATAATACTTTTATGGAAAATTAACAACTTTCGCTTTAGAATAACTTAAGTGTATGTCTTTGGTGCATAAAGCATTTTAGAAGTGTATGTAGGTTAAAAAACAAAAACAAAACATTACAAAAAAAATTTAAACGAATGGGGTTAAAATTAAAAAACTCTTTATATTAATATGATTCTATGCATCTATAGTCTATTACATGTCACTAAAAATTAGAAGAAATAGCGCAATTTAAAATCAGAATAAACGAAACGGCCGGGTTATAATTTGAAAAAAAACCTTGATTTTAAAGGATTTATGTGCAAAACAAGTCTTAAGTAATTGGTAAAAAATCGAAAGAGATAGCGCCACTTGTGAAAGATCCCTGATTTCATGTCATCCACTCTTTATATGTGGACCCCACAGCTACTTTCAAGTACTTCTCAATCATTTCCGAGCTCTGATGGGCTGATAAATATTTTAGAAGTGAAGGTGATAGCTGGGTGCCACATCAGCAATTGAGGAAGCACTGGAAGTAATGTTTTCGATAAAACAAACATGATTTTTTGTTCAGAAGTAGCGAAAGTAGTCTTTACTTTCTTTACTTTAGCTACTTCATAGCTACTTCCGTGCAAACAAATGGGCCCTAAGTTGGAGATCATGCTAGTCTTTTTTTTTTAAGTTTAAGTTTGTTCTCTATATCTGTTTCAGAACTGTTACTAACCATTTCTTACTGCTGCCTAAGAGAAGATTGCCTTTGCTTTTCATCTTCTGCTTTTTCCTTGGCAAAGAAGTGCTAATTTGTCATAGGTTATATATCTTGGTTGTTTCCATGTATTTTTTTTATAGAAATCCATCCATCTAGTTAACTGGAATTTTTTGTTATGTGTAACTGGGAAGGAAACAGATAAAACCCATGTTTTTCTCACTTTAAAGATTACAAATACAGAAAAGACATAATATCATGACTAGTAGAGATAAACCCCTGTATCTGAAATTTATAAATTTTGCAGGATGGGCAGCACCACCAACTATGGGGAGTACACTTACGCGAACTTGGAGAGGGAGCCATACTGGCCTTCTGAGAAGCTTCGCATATCCATCACTGGAGCTGGAGGCTTCATTGCATCCCACATTGCAAGGCGTCTGAAGAGCGAGGGCCATTACATTATTGCTTCGGACTGGAAAAAGAACGAGCACATGCCTGAGGAGATGTTCTGCCATGAGTTCCACCTTGTTGATCTGAGGGTCATGGACAACTGCCTCAAGGTCACAAAGGGAGTGGACCATGTGTTCAATCTTGCTGCTGATATGGGAGGAATGGGTTTCATCCAGTCAAACCACTCTGTCATTATGTATAATAACACCATGATCAGTTTCAATATGCTCGAAGCTGCAAGAATTAATGGTGTTAAAAGGTTCGTGATATTCTGTTCTATCTGCACTTCACATTTCTAGATATCTCGTTAGGTTCATGGAGATGCTGTGCTTGTTTGATTCAGGCTGCAAACTTGTTTTTAATAGCAGATATGTTAAATGAGGTGATAGACATGTAACAATGCAGCATGCAAACGTACTTATTAATAGTTGTAAATGCGACAAAAATAAACACAAATGTAGAGTGTTAAAAAATTTCAAAACTTCTAAAAATCTGAAAGCTAGGCATATCACGTGTAATACATAACTTTCCCTTAAGCGTAATAAAGTATAAAACTATCATGAATTGTTTCTTTTCTACTCCTTAGTATTTAGCACAAAAATATTTATTCTCTATAATAGATGGAAACCAATTATAATGACTCTTTCATGACGAGGAATCCTTTTTGAACAATTTCTAACTCCTTTACTATACCTACTCAATATAGACTAGCAATTAGGTCTGACATCTAGAGTATGATAACACAGCTTCTCTCTTGATGGAAAGAGCAGCACGAACAATAAATGGCTCTTTAAACATACATTTTTCCATTTTACAGTCTGCGTTTGTGCTCTTTTTGGCATTTTTTCCTTCTAGCTAGTTTTCACAATTTTCTTAGCTATATGTGCATGATCCATTAAGTAGAAGAAATGGTCTTGTATGCTCACTAGGTAGGAGTAATGATAACTTTCAACGTATGTTGCGGTAAAGCGTAAAGAGGAAGTTTAAGAAATTGTGGCAAATACATATGTCTCATGAGGTGTAAATGCATGCACCTACTATCAAAAGTCAATCGGGCATGCATGCAACGGTAAATTTCGTGTTTGACAACTGTTTTGACAAACATTTATGTATAAGACAAATTGCAATTTTGTTAATGCGCCTGATTCTAAAGTAGTCACAAATGTAGAATAACCTTGTTAGCATTCTGCTCATCTATACCTAAGTCAAGCCTCAAGGCCATAATATAATCATTTTATACAACTGTTGTATAAGAAATACCTAACATGGAATAATTATTGGTTTAGAGTCTTTAGACTATTGAACTGTAAGCTTTTAGTTTTGTTCGATAAAGTGATGAATAAAATAGATATTAGGTAAAAGAATGAAATTTATACCTAGTGTTTTATGACTATTGAACCGTTAGCCTTTAATTTTTTTAGATAAAGTGATGAATAAAATAGGTATTAGATAAAAGAACGAAAATTATACCTAGTGTTTTATGCCTATTGAACTATAAGCCTTTAGTTTTTTTTTGGATAAAATGATGAATAAAATAGGTATTAGGTAAAAGAATGAAAATTATACCTAGTGTTTTATGACTACAGGTAAGAAATTAATCTTTCAACTCATTAAAAGTTGCTTTCTAATTGCACTCTTGATTTAGTCATTGTTTTATCTGACTTGTACTTTTGAACATTGTGATGATACAAAAAAACAACAAAAAAAATCATGATGGTCATATTTCATGCAATTAGCGTTTAATAATCATTTTCTTATTATATTGTGTTGTATTGTGATTTTTTACCCCGTGCGAGTGTATGTTAGAATATTGCTATATCATCACACTGGCTGCTAGACTTTTCACTTTTCTATATATAATATTCTTTTTCATCCAATATGATATCTTTATTTAATAAACATCAAACACTTATCGTTTTCTGGTGGCTGGTGAATAATCATTCTTCTCCGGTCACAAAATTGAAGCCCTCATTACTTTTCCGAACTGCTATTTAATAAAGTTTCTTTATATCTTTATTTTTTTTTAATCATTTATCGAGGTATAAATTTGTAGTGTTTATGTTAACATATGTAATGCCACTTCTTTCTATTTCTTTGAAGAAACAGGGTTTTCTCCACATTAGGGTAATCATATTCTGTAATTTATTTGACATATGTTGTTATTTTTTAATGTTTTTTATGGCATTTATCATTTTCCTATCCTAAAACTTTTATACAGCTCTTATGCTCTGCTTGCAAATTGGTGCAGATTATGATTTTCTTGATTTATTTACCCTTTTTTTAAATGTCTGCTTTTAGTGATGAAATATATAATTAATCTTAAAAATGTTGGCATGCAGGTTCTTCTATGCATCCAGTGCTTGTATCTACCCTGAATTCAAGCAGTTAGAAACTAATGTCAGCCTGAAGGAGGCTGATGCATGGCCTGCAGAGGTTTGTTGCTCGCCAGCAATTAAGAATTTTGGCGACTGTATATCTTAGCATACACTCATAGGCATGCCATATTACTTACTGCCTACTTCTTTCTCATGTAGCCTCAAGATGCTTATGGTCTTGAAAAACTTGCAACCGAAGAGCTCTGCAAGCATTACACAAAGGACTTTGGGATTGAGTGTAGAATTGGGCGGTTCCACAATATTTATGGCCCCTTTGGAACGTGGAAAGGTAATTTTTGCATTAAGATCGTGTCGGACGTGAAAAATGAAACTTCCCTGCTCTGTTATTTGCTATTTTGCCTCTAAAACTGATGTTCTGTACTTTAAGCGGGCCTACTTATTTTCATAATATCACATTAAGCTGAGTTTTTTTTCCAGGTGGAAGGGAGAAAGCCCCTGCAGCTTTCTGCAGAAAGGCTCTTACTTCTACTGACAAGTTTGAGATGTGGGGAGATGGACTCCAAACTCGTTCCTTCACTTTCATTGACGAATGTGTTGAAGGTGTCCTTAGGTATTGCCATCACTATGAGACATTCACTTAGACAAAGAAAGAAAAATAGAGCACCGTTTTCTGTACAAGGTAATAATTTCCATCTTGAATTCTTCGTAGGCTGACCAAGTCTGACTTCCGGGAGCCAGTGAACATTGGTAGTGATGAGATGGTAAGCATGAACGAGATGGCAGAAATAGTTCTGAGCTTTGAGGACAAGAAGCTTCCCATCCAGCACATTCCGGGTCCTGAGGGTGTTCGTGGCCGCAACTCTGACAATACTCTGATCAAGGAGAAACTTGGTTGGGCTCCAACAATGAGACTTAAGGTATCCCATTTTAGTCCAGGTTTCTGTACGTATACCCCCATTTGCAAAACTACCCCCACATCTCAGTACTTGCAAAATCACAACCCTATCAACTCTGGTAGGCTAATTTATGACCGCAATGTGAAAATATCAATCAAAATAGTCAAATTACCTCACTCACTGTACCCAACGATGTTGACTGATTTGTTTCTTTGGGGGATATTCTTGATGACTTGTGGGGTAAATTTGCAAATAATGATATTTGGAGGGTATTTCTGCAAATACACATGATTTAAAAAGGGTATATATACAAAGCACCCCTTAATCTAAACAATTGCAGCTTTCAGCATGTTGAATGGCTTTTCAAAATCTTTTAAGACTTGATGCATTATTTAATGGTTTCTTTAATCTCCACAGGATGGGCTGAGGTTCACATACTTCTGGATTAAGGATCAAATTGAGAAGGAAAAAACTCAGGGGATTGACCTTTCTGTTTACGGGTCATCCAAAGTGGTGGGAACTCAGGCACCAGTTCAGCTGGGTTCGCTCCGTGCTGCTGATGGAAAGGAATAAAGCTGAAGGAAATCGGTATGTCTCATGAATTTGGAAGGTGACATTTTGTTAATGGTATTTGGTAAAGAAGTCGGTGAATTTTGGCTGGTTTTAATCTGTAAACGAATTTAAGAAGTTATTTCTAGGGATGTTGTTCGCTATGCATTAGTTGTTCTGTCTCTATAAGAGTATGCATTAGTTGCCTCTAAGATATGGCTTTTGTTGTAGAATGATGTAGTAGTCTGAACATGAATGCAAATGTTTTATGCTTGTATTTTCTATGTATGCACACAAATAAAATTATCAATAAAGTATGTTTTGGCGATTCTTCTATTAAATTTTGACACTTTTCATGTTTGTTGCTGTCGGATGTGCACGAATTCATGGAATGTGACTTCTAACTATTTTTGTTCTTCCCGAAAGTTGCTTTGCTTTTGTGGTTGCTACTTGTTTAGATTTTAAGTTGATGACAAGGCGGTGGTTGGTGAGTGATGCATGCTAACTTGCTGTCCAAAAGTTTCTTAGCTAAATCAAGAAAATATAGAAAGAGATAATAGATGATGACATTTGCTAAGACATGGAAAGTTCTGTAATCTTGAACCTAGCACGTTCACATGGAAATTTAGTCATCTCGCCTCCTTGAACATATTACTACACTAGCACAATGTCCTTGAGAAAAACTGTTGATATGGAAACCCTTAGATTTTACATGGTTTCCTTATGTGAGTATACCATATTTTGCTTTTCCATTCATTTCTATTTTTACAACTCTGGAGTAACATAATAACCCCCTGGAGACCATAAGAACATCAACAAAACCTTTATTGGTGTGTTGTTCTGTGTCCATGCAAGTTCTATGAGAAGGACTTGACTCTCGCATTTTAGGCTTATCTATATCTTGTGGACAAAAGGATATCAACCGAGGAGTCAAGTTGGCACGCAGCTGCCTTGAGCTGCAACTTGCCTGTGGAGATATAAAGTATCTACCACTAGTTAACCGGACCACATCTTAAGACTCCTCGTCGGGGGGCATAAAGTGAAAGAAGAGGGAAGCAAGTTGTGATTGCTGATGAGAATGTGTAACCTCAAAAAGAAGATGAGATTGATGGGCGATTTCTATATTATGCTGAAGGCCACTTAAGTACCTTGATGTGCAATTGTAAGGCTTGAGAACTAACAACAAAGGTTATCAAAAGCATGAAGCTGGACCACTTTGTAGATGTATGGAAGTTCTTCAGTGAACTAGGGTTAGAGCAGTTGCATCAAGTTCACACTCTAAAGCCTTGACAGCTTGGATTTGTGAGTAAGGCATATACTTCTCACTCGCATACACCTGTTGGATACTTATTTTACGGAAAGATTTCAACCAAGAGTTTTGTTTTGCAATGGTGTAAATTCGAATTCTGAAAGGATGTTAATCATGTTATCAATCTTTATCAAGCTAACTGATTCAATAGCAATTTTTACAACTAAATTGGCTCTAGTCCCTACTTGCCTCCTAAACTATTAAATTTGTTCTTGCATATTCCTTGAACTATTTTTAGCCTCATATTACCCTCAGTCCCGATTTGCCCCCCTTAAACTATCAAATTTGTCTCTGCATACCTCTTAAACTACTTTCAGCCCCATCTTACCTCTGAGAACAATTAAATCCATCCATATTTCAATTGTTTTTAGCCCCACCTTACCCTGAACTATCATTTTCCTCTCGTAATCCATTTAACATACCCATAAAGTAATAAACAAAAAGTAGCAACTAGGTATTGAAACTGACAGTTCAAGGGTTAAGGTCAGGGGGTAAACATGAAAATAGTTGAGGGGCATAATGCGGGGACAAGTTTAATAGTTTACAAGGCAAGTAGGGTGTGAGCCAAATAAATTCTAACTGCTAATCTTCGATTGGAGAAAAAGTTCTATGTTTTATTCGTACAGGGAAAGCCCATAAAACGTTTCTGTAAAAAACCTAGATGACATTCGGAGAAGAAGAATGTGCTGGTCAAAAATTTTCAAGAATGAAGGGAATATGATTATATGAGCAAGATGAGTATTAGGAAAAACAAGTGAGGCGATCAGCATGCTAGAATTTTAGCATGTGGATTGCCTATCGTGGCGTAGAGCTGCAAAATGATGGATTAAGTACCACAAGAAGAGGCAAGAGCGTAACAGGAAAGACATGCATAGACTGGAACTTTTGCCTATTGAAGCATGGGAGAAAGCAAGGACGTTAGTGGTGACTAAATTCGAAGCCATTGTATTTTTTTTCTTGTTTGGATCCCTAAAATCATATCCAGTAGCTTAGAGGGTGGATGGATACATAGGCGTGTTATCTTTTTATTATTATTATTATTTTCTTTTGTGCGACATTGTATGTGGCTGGTTCTTTAGAAGGGATTTTTCCAATCCGTCACTGTAATAAGAGATACGTTGAGAACTGAAGAACAGAACATAACCTTTGTAGAATGATACTGAATTATACTACTTGTTTGAATTCTGAGAGATCAATAGAAAACTAAAAACATTAGATGTTTGGATTTTGAGAGATCAATTGAAAACTAAAAACATGAGATGTTCATTACCCCGGTATCAAAGTACTCTATCAAACATAATGTCATCCCATTTAGCGTCTCGCTAAGCCTTAGGCAATCTTTTGTCAACTAAATTGCAATCTTCCTACTTCAGTTGAGTATGCATGTAGGGTAGCTAATTGGTGATGTTTACCTGAAGCATATCAATGTTGAAGGTGCTGGTGACAGCAGATTTTCATAGAACAAATAGTTGTTGGAAGGAAACCATTCAATCATGTCCATAGTTCATTATAATTTTATTAATGTAAGCATATTAGCCTACTTGTTTAGAGTTGTTCACAAGAATACTACCAGACTTTGTCAATAACTTATGGTTGCTCATTGATGTTTGCCTGTGGTTGCATTATTTAGTCACAGTTACTGTTACAGGAAAGTGATGTATCCTCGACTCTATGTTTCTTATATGTGGATTGCATTACGATGAGTTACATGGGCCCGACTCCCAACAAAATAAAATTTGGAGCTCAGAAGTGATGTTTTGGGCCCAAAAAACTTATTGATATAAATTGTTGAAATTTTGGTTCCCTTAGGGCATACTAATTGTCTGATTGTTGAATTGTCTGATTAGTGAATTAGATCCGTGTGCACGTGCGTTGGTGGGGGTGGGGGGTACAACAGGGGAAACTTGGTTAGGGAACTCACGATCAGGAGGAGTCAACCCTTTCATGAAAACCCCTAGGAATTGGAGCTCACCTCATATCTATAGCTCAATTTCTGGAAAGTCGACAAGAGTATTCGAACCTAGGACCGTTGAGCATGAAACAAACACACCCGACCATCCTCACGGACCCCGGTGTGTTAAATAAATGTAGAATATAAAAAAGTAGATCTAATTCTCGGATCTTACACATGCAAAATGTCATGACATGACTTTAAATGATCTAAATCTGTGGCCTTGATTTTAAGGATTTCCTTATTTTATCTTAAATTTTTATCATTGAAGCAAGTTTAAATGGCAATATCCTTGGCGAGGTTGGCAACTTAGTGGATAAATTTATGGTCCAAACGCTAGTTTTTAGTTTGACAATTTTGAAATAGTCATTTTTAGTTCAAATTTTAGCATTTAAATTAGTTCTCTTCTGTTAGATCAACCCCCCACATGGAACAACTCTAGGTTAATTAATCAAAAGCTACCTAAACCCAGCCTTATTTGGAATTTCGGAAATGCCAAATACAGTATAAGTATGTTTTGTTAGGTACATTACTGTTGCCCAACAAAGTCATTGTAGGTTAGTTGGTCCTCAATTAACTATGGAGATTGATGACTCTAGCCCATAGTAATAGATTAATAGCCGCATAAGTGACAACTTTCATGTTAAAATTAAGGTTAGCATTCATATTTGTTATAAATAATCACGTGAATCACATAAACAAACTCAAACTTGGGACCAATTTTATAATTCAAGTCAATCGTCTGAGCAAACCACCTAAGAACTGGAAGCACTAAATTAAGATTAGGTGGGAGTTTCGTCGTAATATATGCTATCCTCGGTAAGATTCCTTATCTAATTCTAAGGAAATAGATAATATTGTCAATCAATAACATCTATTGTCATTGGTTTCTTTCTGAGGTTAACTTGTAAATTTTTCTTAAAGATATGCCCACGAAACTATTAAGGTGGTCCTTCTCAATGTGTCACCTGATTTTTATTAATAATTATTAAATAAGGTTGTTGGAAATGAACATCCAATGCATTAACCAAACAGCACACTTCCAAACAAACATAGATAATGGGTTAGTTTTAACAAAAATAATCAGCATATGAAATCATTAAAAATAATTAAAAGCAATACAAACATCTAAAAATATCAGGATAAATTGATTACTTAATCAGTATAAATCAGCATATGAACTAATGTAATGGTCAATTTCATAACCAGTAACAGAACACGTGTTTCGTTCTGCTTACCCCTGTATGATATTCTATGGAGAGCTCTATATAGGAAACTTTTCCCCAAGTTTTTTAGTGTCAATTAGGAGAGTGGAGGCCCACTAGTGCCCTTTTTACCTTTGGATTAAGCAAGCAAAGATAACGCTCAAGTATAATTTGACTATGTCCAAATTCGAGTAAAAGTGACATTAGCAAAAGAAATATAGAGTTGAGAATTGCTTCCCCATAGTTTACCAAAGCAAAGTGAAAGCTAAAGCAAAAGAAAAGTGAAAAAGATTTGGCACTATTTCTCTTTTTGTTCACCATTTTCTCTCTCTTTCTCTTTTTTCCCCCTTAAGACCTCTTGCATCTTCTCTCTTTGCTACCTTTACCAAACAAAACTAAGCGTCGATGGAGTTAGTGTTGCTAATCTTGAGGATTTGGCTGAAGTGATGGTTCTTCGCTTTGCTTCCACAGTTATAGAGAATATTTATCCTTTATCAAAGAACGAAGTGCTTGTTCATAACAAAAGGAAAAAGATAAAGGAACTTTGTCATATACTGATACACACACACACCCCCTTCTGTTATAATGTAATAATATAAATTCATATTTTTTTTGTATATAATTTATTTCAATCGTGGTGTAATAACACCAGAGTTCCCTTTCAAGAAAACTAATTTTGACGGGCAATAAATAGAGCTTCCATAAAAAGTTCCCGTATGACAATCAAATTTCCATGTTCAATGTTTTTCATCAAGCAACAGTTGAACAAATGTAATTCAATCTTTCATTTTATAGAAAAACTACAACATTTCTGCAACCTTTTTTATGCGTACCAAAAGCTGAAACTTCTAATTAAAACCGTAAAATAAAACATCA